GCCTTGCCCAGCCGAGTGGCATCTTAACCCAGAGAGCATGTACAAGTCTTCCTTACCATGCCAGTGTGAGGGATGGGGCCAGGAGAGAGCAGAGGTTTCCCTCCTCCTGTAGTGAGGCACTGCCGATGTCCTCCCAGCAGCTATCACCACCTGCTGCCATTTCATCCGATCCACAGGCACGGGCTTGCACAGGAGAAGTGGGCAACGAAGGCCCAGAAAATCAGGATCTGTGGCATCTCTCTCTTCCTTTTGCAGGTTAATGCAGTGCCAGGAAATCCAGTCACAGTGTCTGGGCCATCAAGGAATCCATGAGCAGCAGTGACATGGCAGGAAGGAGGCCATCAGAGTGCACTGTGCTGTGATCGCACAGAGGAGGCTGCAGAAAGCAAGGGGAGCTGGAGCACCTAAAGTCTCAGCCCCTGAACCAGGGTCCTTGCTCCAGCCAACCTGGTCAAGGTTTCCCATCACTACACCTCTGTCACACAGGCTGAGGCTGGTAACCATGCAATCACAGCTACTTTCCTTAACGAGGGCTATGAGGGGAAGAAGCCATTGAGCACTAGAGTCCTGTCAATTCTGCTGCCCCTCTCAGTCTCAGTAGGACAGTGGGACACATGGGCTGCTCAGCTTCCTCATACCAACACCTTTCTTTTTGAACATGTTCTTGCAATCCTTCATATTTCTTGCTAGTTACAATTCATCCCACATTTTGTCTTCCTTTATTATTTGTTATTTTTTTCTGTTCCTCCTAGTGTTCCATCTAGTTTCTACTCTTATGCCTTTCCTTCTGAAGTTTCAGGTCATTATATGAACAACGAGTTCCCCTGCACCCAGTGGTGGGATGGTTTCTGTTGTGCCCTATTGCTTCATTAAAGCCCTGCTGAGGTTTCTCGATGCATTTTGTTGGACCTGATCTCCCACACCCTGAATTCCTTACATTTCCTCTGAAAGGCACTTTGAAGTTTGACATGCACTTTTGACTCCTGTTTTACCTGGTGTAAGGTCTGGGAACGCCTCCCCCGGGGTCCCACAGCCCTCGGTAGCCCAAGCTGGCACGGGGTAGCCATGCTCTGGTGCAGGCAGCCTGTGGCTCTGAGCCTGACCTTGCTCAGCAGCTCCTATCCCAGGTGTGGAAGCCACAGAGTGGGAAGGGGTGCAGGGACAAGGCCAAAGCTCCATCTCCTCCCCAGCCTCAGGACAATGTGGGACATGTATTCTGATGGGTCTGGAGACCAAGACTCTGTCACTGAATGTGGACAGCTCAGATCAGGGCCAACCACCGCGGGGGCCAGATCCTTCCTCGAGAGTCTGCGGTTTCCTCCCTCTGCCAGGGCACGGTTTGCAGCCGGCTGTCCCCACAGCTCCCGGGCTGGGCCGGCGCAGCCCCTGGAGGTGGCCCTGGGGTAGGGACGGTCCCACACGATGCTCCCCAGCCCCGTGCAATGCCCTGCACGGCTGCGGGGGTGGGGGGAAGGGGGTTTTGTCACGAGTTGGGGGGACGCAACCACTGGGGTCACAGGCCAGAGCCTCCAGAGCCGCGCAGGTCCTGCCCAGCAGCCCGGGGGGGAAGGCACATGCCGAGCACCCGCGACCGTGGGGCACTGCACCGGGAGGGCACCGGAGCACAGGCGGTCCCGGTGCGCGGCACCGAGTGCGCGCGGGCAGCGCGTGACAGGCACATGTGAGCGTGCACACGCGTGTTCTCGCACACCCAC